TATACATGCTTTTGTAGCTCACAGGTGAAGTCTGAGCTGAGATGTAAATCCAAGAGTTGTTGATCCACATACTCTAGAGTATTTAAATCACATCAAGCTCTTTGGAAATTGTTGACTTGAGATCTTAGAACCAGAACGCTTAAGAACCAGGCGAAGGGTAACAAAGGAAATCTTGGAGGAATAACCAGTAAAATGAGGAAATTCTGGGGACTCTAGAACCCAAGAGATTAGGCAGTCTTTAAGGAAGGAGGGAAGCAGCAGCCTGGTTGAAGTCTGGCAAGAAGTAGAACAAGCAGTAGATGGGAGCAGGTGCTAGTTTGAGCAGCATGGAAATAGACTTTTGACCATCATAGGAGGCATGGTGGGAGGCAAGACTAGTGTATATTGGGATCCTATTAGAATAGGTTTAAGAGGAAACGGGGATAAGTTGGCAGTTGTATAAGCATCTCTTTAAAGGTGTTTGGAAAAAGGAGGGTTTTCCAAAGATAGCCTTCCGAGAGGCTCTTTTCATGTGATGAGAATGTTCCTCTAGGGAGGTGGCAGCTGAAGGGGTAATAGCCTTTAGAAGGTGAGAGAGAACTTTCTTCAGGGGGCAAGTGAAGGGGCTGGCATGATATGAAGTAGGGAAGCGCTATCATATGAAGGAGTGCAGATTTAGATATGGGAAATATGTATCTTGCTAGACTATGGTATTTTCTACCCTGAAGGAATGGGGAAGATAATCACATTAGGCTAGGAATAGAGGAGGGAGCATGGACATTTTGAAAGAAAGTAGAGGGCATAAAATGATGATCCAGGCACTGGGAAAGGGCCTAAAAAGAAAATAGCCCAGACTTACTGATCTTTCTTGAGTATAGGTTCTACAGGACATCCATTTTCCCCCTTTTGCACTGTCTGTGTGGTACCTGAGTGGGACTAGAAAAATTGTAGAATCTCAAGAAAGGTTCATTGAATGAGCAAGTTCAGTGGTGAACTCTCCAGCAATATTCAGCTGCTGGAGAACAGCAGTGGAATGGACATTGAAGAGGAGGATAGAATTTTAGTTGGTGGAGGTTTTCTCAGGCGAGACTGACTGGCAGTGAGCCTCCAGGGAGTGGAGTGTATTTGCAAGGGAGTAATTACAAAGGGCTCTCTCATCAGGACTCAAACAACAAAACAGAAGGGTAATGGATAATCAGCTAATGGAGAGGGAGAAGGTGGTTTGTGGTCAGAAAGTTTGGCAGAAGAGATTGAAGATTTCTTTTTTGTTTTGTTTTGGTTTGTTTTTTTTTTTTCGAGACAGGGATTCTCTGTGTAGCCCTGGCTGTCCTGGAACTCACTTGGTAGACCAGGCTGGCCTCAAACTCAGAAATCCGCCTGCCTCTTCCTCCCAAGTGCTGGGATTAAAGGCGTGTGCCACCACTGCCCTGCTGAAGATTTCTTGAAGAATAAGAGGTCATGGTTGCCTGGAAGCAGGTTTGAATTGGGATTTGAGAAAGGGAGCAGGTAGTGGTGGTAGCGTAGGTCAAGGCAGAATGAGGTGGCAGAATCAATCATGTCTATGAAGTCAAAGAGCTGACACTTTCTCTTTTCTCTTTACATCATTGAGTTTATCATGCTTGAGATCTTACACTGTGGGAAAAGCAGGTAGACTTTGAGATAAAGTCCTCAAAGTCTAAATGCACATCTCCTTTAGCTGCCTTCCCCAACAAACACACATAACTAAGCATGCTTGTCTTGGGGATGAGAATGTTTTCATAGTTATTTGAAGAGCCAGAGTGCACTATGTAGTCATTTAGTCAATATGTGCATGTAATTAGGTTACAACATATGGTGTCTAGAGGGAAAGCCTATTGGGGCAGAAATATAAATATAGTCACACTTAAATAGTGGTTTGTGAATTACGTTATTGAAAACTGTAATAGGGTTGCATTTGTCAAATATGGTACAGTTGGTATTTCTTGCTGTCAAGTGGACTATCACAGCCGTTAGCAATGTCTTGGCTTTTTACTTTGAAATGGTATGAGGGAAGGAGGTGACAGGGAAGACACTAGAGAACTCGTTGGTTCAAGAAAAGAGGGTGCAGCATGTGGTGGTACCTACATACAGTTCTGGTCCTTGAGAAACTGAGGAAGAATTGTGGGTTTCATTGAGGTCGTCCTGGACTACACTATGAGTTTAAGGCAAGCCTGAGCTACATAGAGACACCATGCCTGAGACAAAAAAAGAGAAGTCTATTCTTGCTTCCTTTGTTTTACTGTGAGAGAGTGCAAGCCTCTTGGTACTACTAGGCCATAAAGGAGCAGTGATCAGAGTCTTACGGGCGTCTGAGCAGAGGATCCTGGAGCAGAATTCTGAATCAGGGACCCCAATGTCATTTTTCTTGTGTGGCATCAGCAATATGTTCTCAGTGAGGAGGCCTTTTTCAGATGGGCTTCTTGGGCAGAAGTGTAACTGTCAGTAAGTGTTCTTTGGACCTGAAAATCACAGCAATTTGAATGTCAAACAGTTTAAAGTGCAGCTGATGCCTGAAAACCTTTTGATGATCACTTTATGATATCTTCACACCTGAATGTTGTATGAGCTCTGAGAAGACCTGGGAGAGAGAGAGAGATGGAGAGAGAGATGGAGAGAGAGAGAGAGATGGAGAGAAAGAGAGAGAGAGAGAGAGAGAGAGAGAGAGAGAGCAAGAGGAGAGGGAAAATCTGAATATCTGAATCTATTGTGAAGAAAATCCTGATCTCTCAAGGAATTGCTTTGACTAAGATGGGATCTGGAAATAGAGATTAAGTAGAAATAGTAATATTCTTTCATATTTCTTATACATTTAAGGCCATGAACTGAAAAGTTCATACCTATTGTATTACTTGTGGACTAAGACAGACACTATAATTCCAGCCACTGTTCTGTAGTCCAGCTAGAGCAAAAGAGAGTAACTGGGAGACAACCTATACAATACAGATACCTTTTCTCATCTTGTTAGCCAGGATATGTATGGTCTTATAGAATACATAGCTGCAAGGGAGACTATGAAGACGTATATGTGAACTGGATATCTCCAGGCAATGTTACAATGTGGAAGAGTTATTAATTGAAGGAAGAAGAGAACATATTTTAGGAAAACTCAGTAATTTCTAGAACTTGATTCTACAGACGCTATCTGAGACTGGCTGAGTTATTTTTTTCAAGAGGCATGGAGTGCATGCTATCCTAGTCATTAATATCTACTCTTTTGGGATAAGAGTGACTTCAGATGCTTATCCATGGGTGGGACCTCTAATTCCCTGGGCTGCTTAATTCCTCACTTCTTGCATGAGCTCATGTCTAGCACTAAGCTATTAGCTTCACTTTAGTGCTAAGTAGTGGAAATACATCAAGGGCTGCTCTTACATTTTCTGGTACTGGAGGTGCTTTACAGTAGCTTAAGGATAATGGATCTATTTTATTCATATTATCATTAGTCTTACAATCATGAAACTAGCTTATAATTATATCGCATGTATTTAAATTCCTGGTAGTTGACTTAAATTCATGATCCAGCTTGATCTTCATGGACTTCCTATAAAGTAATTATTAAATAATGCATGTTCACGTTCTTTTAACATTCATCAGCATATTCTGATTTTCCCGTTTCCCTAGATAGAAAGTTAGCAATGTTTAGAATAAGCATTTGCTCAACACATCTGGGATTCTTCCTCTTCCTTTAATTTCTCTTTCACTTGCACACTGTTCTGTAGGGCCAATGCTGGACTCTTCTGAACACATTGAATTTATTTATTTATTTATTTTTATGTTTTTTTTTTCCCAAATGCTTCTCCTGTTCGCCCTCTCTCTGTATGGCTCTTTCTCTGAAGCAAGTCTCTACAGTTTTCTCAGTTTTCTGCCTCTTGTTTCTTGCAAACATTTTCTGTTTTACTTTGATATTTTCTCTATTTTCCTAATTACAGTCTTGATTTCTATTTTCATCTCTGTATCTTCTGGACATCTACAACTACATGCAGAGATCTCTTCTGTTTTGGTCCTTGAAGGTACCTGGCTGAAGTTCCCACTTCTCTGATTATACTTCAGGGCTTTGTGTATCCAAACTGATGTGTAGGGGGCCTAGGTCCAGCCCACACTTGCTCTTTGGTTAGTGGTTCATTCTCTGAAAGTCCCCAGGGGTCCTCTGTTGGTGGCCTTCTTGTGGAGTCCCTTTCCACTTTGGGTCTCTCAGTCCTTCTTCTACCTCTTTCTCTATGCCTCTCCCATGAGAGAGAAGATTGAATTGTCCATGATATCTCTGAACATGGCATTGCCTTCTTTAAGTTGGTACCCTGTGTCCCATTATTCTAATGAGTCAGGAATATTAAAGAATTGGGACATGTATGTATAGGGTCAAATAATAACTTCTGTTCTCTTGCCCACTATCTGATGTTATTAAGGTCCTGGGAGTGGTGTAGCTCAAGGAAGACTTGACGCTGAGTTTGATGCCTCTGCAGACCTAACTCTGCTCTTCTGACACACGAAAAGGTAAAATGGGGTTCTGACATTTTCCTTCTTTCCTTTGTGGCTAGATGTGCAGAGCTCAGAGTTTACTTCACTGTGCACTCAGATGGTTTTGACACTGAGGGTCAGGTTTTACTTACTCCTTGATAGGATCATATAAAACATGCATGAATTCATGAACAAAGGAAAACTAGAAGTAAAAGTTATAAACTACCCTCTCCTTTTTGTGGGATAGCTGTGGAGACTTTTTTGTTTTCTGGGAATAGTTGATATAGTTTTAGTAACTTTGATCTAGGCCTCTGGGTGCCAACATTTGCTCTTTTCTTTTCACACCATGCTATGTGCTAACTGTTGAACTGGACCATCATGAATGATGCTACACAGGTCATTGAATAATCACCATATTTTTCTTCTGCCTACCTTCAAGGTTAGTAGTACTGAGTGAAGAGCAGATAAGCTGTAGGAGGGTTCTCTGAGAACATACATGTCACATGAGTGCACACCACATATGCTTTAAAGTAACTAATATGGGTGGGTCTGGGAGCAGGAGAAGATGGCGGTCTCCACAGGAGTTAAAGTTCCTCGTAATTTTCGCTTGTTGGAAGAACTTGAAGAAGGACAAAAAGGAGTAGGTGATGGTACGGTTAGCTGGGGCCTTGAAGACGATGAAGACATGACACTTACAAGGTGGACAGGCATGATTCTTGGGCCACCAAGGACAAACTATGAAAACAGAATATATAGCCTGAAAGTAGAATGTGGATCTAAATACCCAGAAGCTCCTCCATCAGTTAGATTTGTAACAAAAATTAATATGAATGGAATCAATAATTACAGTGGAATGGTGGATGCATGGGGCATACCAATATTAGCAAAATGGCAAAATTCCTATAGCATTAAAGTTGTACTTCAAGAGCTAAGACGTCTTATGATGTCCAAAGAAAATATGAAGCTTCCACAGCCACCAGAAAGACATACGTACAACAACTAATTTTAGTGGATCTCAAACTTGTCTTAATTCAACAACCCATGTTATTGTCTTGATTAAATATCACCATGCAAAATACCCACACATTAAGTAAAAGAATTGCAGCTGGTAAACATGACCTGGACAGTTGTAAGAATATATTTAATATATGTACACCTATTATGTTTTCAGGTAACAAGAGAAGTGCAGCACAAATTTTTTTTTTGTCCTCTTAAAGCACTGTCGTTTAAACATGAACCTGAAGTACTCAAAGTGGAATTCAGGTTTTCAAGACAGGAGCATGTTAAAAAACTGTCAGATGGCCATGGAAACCTTTGCTTTTCTGAAAAGTAAAGTCTCAAGATGGAAGAACAGAAATGGCATGCTTTATCCATCATATATAGAGCTGCAGTTGGAATTGTTTAAAGTAGCAGATAGAATGACTAGTCACCAATTGTGTTAATTCTTGAAGCAGTGTGGGTACTGACTACTACTAGTATCTAAAATAGGTTCAGGATTGTTTTGATACCTGTATTTATAATAAAAAGATGTTTGGGGTTTTGAATTTCTGTTAAAAGCTGTTCCCGTTTGTTACGTGTAACAGACATAATTTGTTTACAGTCTTTGTTTAATAAAACATGCTTAGAAGTTTTAAGTGAAGTGAACAAAAAGGAAATAGGTTTATGGATGTGTGATTTTGAGATGAAAGTTAGTCTTAAAATGTAAATAAATTGTGGAATGTGTCTTCAGAAAAAAAAATAAAGTAATTAATATGTGAAATATACTGTGCCCCTGTTAGCACACTTTTACTCCCTGTACACTTTCTTAGTCTCATAATCATCACTTCTCAGGGAAGGCATCTTTCAATTGGAATATAAAGAGAAATGGGATTCTTTGGATTTGGGGGGGGGCAGGATCTAGGGGCCGGGACCTCTTGACAGTGTTGTTTTAATCAAAATAAGGAGTTTGGAATCAAAATGACATCTCATGAGAGAGTTTTAGTCTCAACATTTTATTATGAAACTTTAAAGTATGCAGGAAAAATCAAAGAATTGTTTATCCATTTTCTAGATTTTATGATGAATGCTTTACTACAATTACTTTATTAATACAAACTTATTAAGCTTTGTTTCTTATTTTATTATGGGTTTTTAAGACTGGCAAAATTGCATTTTCATTTCAAACACATACGTAGGGAATACCACTAATTGACATTCAATTTTGTTCATCTTTTTAAGTAATAAAATTAATGAAATGTTCTTGTCCAACATGTGTACTCAGTAGGGTCAGGCATACATGTGCCTTTGTGATCCTGTGTTATATGTTAGGACACCTCACCTGCAGTGTTCCCCTATGGACTTCCCAGGAGTCTCCACTTGCTCTGTCTCAGGAGCTGCTTTAACAATTTCTCCTGGTATTTCTAGTTCTTGGGTCATCTTAGTTCAGCATTTATTGATTTCCTATTCTCTCAAGTAAGGTCTCTTCAAATGTCTAGTATTCGGACTGTGTTCTTGACTATTCTGCTACAATTCTGTGGATAAAATTGATTTTTGTTTTATTTATGTGAACCCCAAATTCTCTTTTCTCTATGACAGTAAATGAAGCTTCTGGGCAGACTTTTAGCCTTAGCTTAGTTCTTTGCATTATTTTTCAAGCAAGCCATGTTTGAGGGTGAAAAAGAGCTTTGGATAGAACCTCGATTGAGGTTGCTTCCTTTCAGATAAATCTAGCTGTGTCAAGTTGACATAAACTATCCAGCACAGGGCAGTATCTGATTCTTTTAGCAAGCAACTCTAGGGTTTTGTATGTATTTAGCTTCCCTATTTCTGATAATTGCTTTGGGGAAAAATATGACAAATATAGTGTCTCTTTTTTCTAAATGTTGACTCCCTGCCAGCATATCTTGATTCAAGTTATTTGCTAATATATTCAAATAGTTATTTTCCATATTTTGTCCAGAATTTATGATGTTACCTGCTATTGGGTTAGTCTGATAGTAGTTACGTGCCATTGTTAGAAGGAGATTCTAAGTGCCTTTTCTGTTTCAGTTCCCTAATTAGATAAAAAGAGCTTGATGACACAAATGAGCAAAGCCTTAGAGGGACAATGAGTACAATGTTGAGAGAATGTGTGATGAGTGCCTCAGAAGGCAACCTGTCCTCACTCCACCTCACTGCGTGCAAGAACAGAGTAGCCGCGCTGCCATTCTATGTTCAGACACAGAGGGCCAGACGTCTAACACAGCTGGATGGGAAGAGCAGAAAATTGTTTCATTTTTCCCAGACCTGCTGAGAGGGTCAGAGAAATCACCCAAAGAGGCCAAGCACCTGGGAAGACTTTCATTAGAGTCCAGGGAGGGAATAGAAGCATGATTGCCATGGAGAATGTGGCTGATCAGGGTTCAGAGTCGTGTGTGGCTCAGCAGATGTCTGTATGGGAAGGTGTCAATTAATGACTAGAAGGGATTGAGGTACCACAGTGGAAGTCAGTGTAGATGGACAAGGCAAGGACAGAGGGCTGTTTCATGTGCAGTGGTTGGAGAACAACTGTGGCCTCAGTTTTTCATATTTTGAGGCTAAATATTACAGCTTTGATTTGTTATTGTTCTTAGACCTTAGTTCAAACTCCAAGGATTAGGGTTAAAAAACAGCATTCTTATTTGACTGAGTTAACCTAGAATTTTCTGATTTAAGTTTCCCCCAAAGAATGAACTGGAAAGTTAAAGACAAGAAGGAAGACCATAGTGTTAGGTAGCTACTCAGATATTAGCAAACTTGAAAATTACTGAGAATGGATTCTCCCTCATAATTAGCTTTGGATATCACTTGTGTCCCTGATAACACTAACTTGACAAGTGAAAAATAGTGAAAAAAAAGGTAAAAGAAAGGGGAGGTAGGAGACCTCTTCATTGTTGAATTTCAAATACTGGAAAGGAAGGAGAAAGCATCAGAGTTGCCTTTTCTTATAAAAGTATCATGTGAAAAAAACATACAGACTGTACAGCAGAGAGGAAGCTGGAGTGAGCAGGGCTTTGTTGAGGTCCATTGAAGGGATGTGTTCCTTCTCACAAGGCATTGTTATTTGTTTTAGTGACTATTTTGTTGCTGTGATGAAAAACCATGGCCAAGACTAGTTATTAAAGAAAGCATTTAATTGGGAGCTTACTTACAGTTTCATAGGGTTAGTCCATGATCACCATGGTGGTGGGTGTGATGGCTCAGGCAGGCAGGCATAGCGTTGGACCAGTAGCTCGGAACTTGCATCCTGATCCATCCACAGTAGTGAGAAAGAGAGTGAGACTGGGCCTGGTGTTGGTTTTTGAAACCTCAAACCCTACCCCTAGTGACATACCTCCTTCAACAAAGTCACAACTCCTAATCTTTTCTAAACACCATCTGGGAACCAAAAATTTTAAATATATGAACTTATGAGGGCCATTCTCAATCAAACCATCACAATATTTTAATAAATTTACTTATTAATTTATTTTCTTTGATTCCTTTTAATCTGTTGTGTTACATAATGTTTGGCTAAAAGAATGGAATCTGAGATATATCTATGGCCTTGGATGGAGACATGACTTTATGAACTGCTAGAAGGATGAGAAGAATTCTATTTAATAGGAGGCTTTGTGATGAAGAACAAAAGAAGTACCATTGTCCCCTCCCTTCAGAGTTTATGAAAGGGCATATGATCCTCTGGAACTGGAGTTACGGATGGTTGTGGGTGCTAGGAATTGAACACCATTCCTTTGCAAGAGCAACAGGGACTCTTAACTGCTGAGCCATGTCAACAACCCCTTGTTGGGTTAATGCCTAAAGAAAGATACAATGTTATGTAAGTTTCTAATCTTTGGAATAGATAAGAATGTCATCTACCGATTGGGCTAGGAGGCCCAAGGAGTGAAGCTAAGAAAGCTGATATTTAGTTTTCCAGTATTAGCAAGGGAATTGGGTGGGGTGGGGACCAAAGTCAACTATAAGGCAGGGGTCCATTTTAATGGCCTCTAGTTACATAATCTGTTTCCTCCTAGAGAGCTGAGGTTGGGAATAGTTATCATCTATTTCCAGTGAAAACCCAGATACCAAATTCCACAGCCTTTCAGTAGAAGAGTGTCTGAAATTTAGTTTCAGTCACAGCTTCTCATACAGCTTCCAGGCAGAAGTGCTCCTTAGGAGAAGGAAGATAAGAGACCAGAGCTCCATTCTGACACCCCTGGCACTTGTAGGACAACATCACAGACATTTTCAGCTTCTGGCCAAGGACACAAATGGGGTTGTTCACTTGTGGAATTCCAGAGCCTAAATTTGCCCAACCAGTGTGTCTCCCCTGTATTCTTATCAAAGCAACAGAGATGACAAGTTAGGGAACTGAGGGGAAGACCCTGGTAGCAGCACCCAGAAGATGCATCTGAATTTAGTCATTTGTGAATTTGAGATCCGGCAACGCCTACACACATGCAGTGTTGACACTGCTGGAAGAACTGAGTGCTAGCTGGTGATGGAGAATCCAGGTGGTGACTTCAGAAGTGCAGGGGCGAGCGTGGGGGCTTGTTTTGGCCATGATTCTCCAGGCATGGAGTTTTGGGTTTCATTTCAGGATTCTGCTAATGTCCCTCTAGCCAACCAGTAATCAAGGCTTTACTGTTCTGTCTTGTTATCATTTATAATGTCCATAATTTGCATATATTTGCATTTTAATTTTTCTAACTAAAAGAATTGAATAAATATTCATTCTTTGCATACCACTGGAGCAGAAACACATTGGACTCCAGTGGTATGAATAAAGGGCACTGTCGGCATATTCTTTACTTTAGCTCAGAATTATGTTTTAGACTGTGGGTGTGCTTTCCTTTCTGGCACTTGGATCAAAAAAAAAATTCCACTGTGTATTTTCATGTTTCCTTATGTTGATGAAAGGTTCCAGATAGGCAGGTAGGTGAAGTCTTTCATTATAGACAGAGAAATTGAGCCACAGAAGAGACTTAACTCTGTCAGAGATGAGGCAACATGATACCAGAGCCTGTGCCCTTTCTGTCCTAGTTCATTTGCCCTCTGTCTCTATGGGAAGAGTATGAAGGCTTGTGTTACAGGACATGGTCCTCTGAGACAAACAGCCACCATCCTCATGAGTTCAACTGTGTCTGCTTGCAAAAGATCACCACAGCTGGACTTTTGGCTGTGATGTTCCTCCACAGAAGAAGCAAGTGGGAAGGGTTACTGGATCCTCACATGAATAGCCTACCACTCTTCCCAGAGAGTTGCATGTGATTCTGATGTAATTCCACAGCCCTTTGGGTCTAGGTGAGGGGTAGATTATATAAACTGGGAAAGACAAGGGGAAGGAAGCTCCATCTATGTGGCTCCAATCCATGCTGGGTGAAGACTTTTCAATCTGAGTGCTTTAGGGGCACCTACCGTCTATAAGAAAGCTCAATAAACTTATTGGCTATCCAGGATGAACTTAGGTGGATTTGAACTTTGATTTGTCACTGAGACCTTAGAGGAAGAGGATAGATGTTACAAATCTCTCTCAGGAAGAAGTTTCATGCCTTTGTTATTGTTG